TATGAAGAAAGAAATATATTTAGAAAGATCCTCTTTTACAGAGTTAAAAAAAATCATCATCATTTAAGAAGGCTCCATTATTCACAATGATTATGTTTCAGAACAAGCAATCAATATGCACTTTGGCTGAAAGAGTTACGTAAGAGCTCTTTAGATTACTCTAGCATCTACAAAGAAAAATAACGAGAGGAATTTATCCATCCAAAAAGCTATTGAGCTAATGAGACCACCTTACGTAAGTCAGATCATATCACTGCTCCTTCTAGCCCATTATGGCCAACTCCAGGAATAGGGAAATATGTGGCCCTCCATATCTTGTTGGACTACAGCTCCCCTCATCCCTCACTATTGGCCATGCTAGCTGAGGTTGATGGCTGCTGTTGTAGATAAATACCAGGGTGGACCTGATGCTGGGAAAAGTTTACTTACTCCTCATCCTGGAGAGGAGGCAAAAGACTTCAGAGGACCCTGCCTGATCCTTCCAGTAGGAGGCACCATCCCTATCAGGAATGTCCTCCAACAACATCTGGCAAAGGTTGATTTACAGCTTGGGTGCAAGGCACTGGGGGAGGGCGGGAGGGAGGTGCATACTGTAGTCACACAGGAAATTATAACCCATTCCAGGAAGTGGCAAAATTTCACCTCTGTTGCTCCAGCTGCTAATTAGGAAACCTGAAGAGCCACTCCTGGGTTCTAGACCTATCCAGGTTTTCAAAGAAGCATGTGGTGATGGCCACATGCTTAGATGGTTGTGAAAGGTGGGAGGAGGAAGAGGTTGTTTTGAGATGGATAGACAGAATGTGGGCTATATGAAAGCTCCTAGTGCAGAGGCTGGGGAGCAATATCAGGAGAGGGCTATAGACTTCATGCTCTGCATGTATGTATGTATGTATGTATGTATATACGTACGTGTGTTTGTGTGCATACCCAGGCGTGTGTGACTGCTGCTTTGCCCCAGGCTACAAATGCAGTGTTGGAAAGCCTTTTTAGCAACCAAGGAAGGAAACGACAGGTGTGCATTGTAGCTGGAGGGGGCGTGACTGCTTCAGAGCCCAAAGAATGCGGGTGACTGGGGTGACCGGAAGGTAGCATAATAGAGCTATGCCTGAACAAACGCGTTTTTCCTGTTAACACGACACAACAATGACAATTCCTAGGCTGTCTGCCAAGCCGATGCTTAGGAGGATGTGTGTCCATAAGTTGGCAAACGACGGAAATGCAACCTAGGTAAAAATAGCACACTGCTGCATGCATTTGTTCCATACGCTTTCATCAGGCCTCCTTATTCAACAGGCAATGGGGACGGCTTCTGCTAAGTCCTCCCAGATTGGCTGATTTGGATAAAGATTTGGAGGAAGGGGACAGATTCTGACTTGAGGAGCTCATAACTGCACATAAAATCTGTATCTTTTGGCTGCATCAGAGTAGACTCATCAAACCTAATTTACTTGCATTGATATCAATGGATCTACTCTGAGTACAATATAGCTAGAAACAATCCTTTATTATTTTGGCAGGCAGTGGTGGGACAACTGGTTTCCAATGTCAAATCTGATCTCCCTTCGCACCAAGTATTTGTAAAATAAAATTCACCATGAGCTTACAAATACAGCGCTGAGTTTGTCACCAGAAGACAGGGCAAATGAGGCTCCAAAGCATTTTTAAGGTCTAGAATACATGACCTACCAGCAGCTAGCACAACATCAACCTCTTCTTGCTATTTTAAATTGGCAGAGGTGGCCAGCAGTGAAGGAAATGAGGGGGGCTGGGGCAGGGGCTTTTGTGGGGAGCCTGTGGAGAAGAGAAATTTGAGAAGAGGGCAAGCAGTAGCATGAAGACTTAGGTTATATGGAGTTTGGAGCCACAGGTGGGATGGTCAAGTCTGGCTGGAGGGTGAGAAAATGACATTAGAGACACTTGTGTTGCTGATGAAAGCATTTCAGAAGGTAATGGGTTATTCCTTAGACTGGGGTGGTGAACCGTTTTTAGGCTGAAGGCCATAATTCCTTATGCACAATATTCTGTGGGCCACTTAACAATGGTACGTGGAGCCAGAGGCAAAAGCAGAACAAGAAATGTAAATGTTACCTTCCTACAGTAGGCTGATTTCTACATACAATCACACACTCCTCTCTCATTTGAGGAGGGTGTGAAGCAGTAGTGGGTGCAGTCTAGATCACCCCAAGTTCCTACACCATATTGTAACAAAGCCAATGCATGTGTAATGGAAATAATAACATAGCCTTCTCCTGCCTGCCCACGCCTCCATTTCCTCAATTCCTCTCATGCTTCCTTCTGCCTGTTTTAGATTGTAAGCGCCTTGGGGTAGAGACATACCTGCTCTTTGTAAAATGCCAGGTAGTGCTATACAGACACAGACACCCATACAAAGCTGATCAGCGGGACCAAGGATTATGTCTCAATATCACAAGAGTTGTGCCTTAACAAGGCTTCCCTTCCAAAGTTATGTTTAAACAGTGTCCCTGAAATTCAACCAAGACACTTACCTCCACAGAGTAAGATATTTCCTCATTGCTGTTGTCATTGATCTTCTCAAACAGCTCTTCGCAGAGCTATAAAGAGATTAGAGAGAGAGAGCATCACTCTACAACCAGGGAGAGGGAAAACTGTAAGGAAAGTCCCTGCGGTGCTTAATCTACTGTGCTTCCAGTGTTTCTGTCCAATACATGGGGCCTGGCAGAGAGGCTGCTAATCCAGTCCCCATGCCCACCCCACACCCCCAAAACACACTTGGCAGCCAATCCATTTAGCCTTTATGCAGATATTGATTATAACCAAATTCAACTTCAGCGTGGGGGGGAAGGGGAAAATTAGAACTCCTACATGGGCATTACAACTCCTAGGAGAGGGATAATTAAGATGTTAAATCTTCCCAGAGCCAGCTGTGAAAACACTTTGACTTATTTTTAAGAAGAATCACTTTTGGAGTTGATCTGCTGGAATTTTAAAAGCAAAATAAACTCAGTTTGGGAGGTTGTTGGTGTTAGCAACCCTGTCAGCTAACCTACCCAGTTACTGATAATCTCACTTCTATACTTCTTCGGTCACAACCACACTACACATTTTAAGTACTCTTATACCACTTTAAACAGCCAAAAAATCCTGGGAGCTGTCATATGTGATGAGACTCCTGCTTCCTCCATAGAGATACAATTTCCAGAGCTCCCTAGGAAGAGGGATGGATTGTTAAACCACCTTGGGAACTGTGGCTCTATGACGTAAATAGGGCTCTCCTAACAACTCTTAACACCTTTTACAAATGACAGGTCCCAGGATTCTTGGTGGTAGGGGTGAACACATGGCTGTTTAAAGTGGTAGGATAGTGCTTTAAATGTATCGTTTGGACCACTAATTGTGCATTTGTGGTGGATTTGTAGTTTAAGTGTGAGGTACAGTTGTGGCCTTCCTTAGTCCTTTGTTGCAGATGGCACTTAAGAGCTGACAATGGGGGCTAGGAAGGCATGAGCTGGCACTAATGTTTAAGGCAATCACACCCCAACCAGCATGCAATTCAGTGCAAAAATGAAGTTTTTGGAGTCTGTTTCCAGGAAACCTGGATTTTATACTCTAAAGCATGGGTAGCAAACTATGGCCTGGGGGCCGAATCTGGCCCAATCACCTTCTAAATCCGGCCCGCGGCCAGTCAGGGAATCAGCGTGTTTTTACATGAGTAGAATGTGTCCTTTTATTTAAAATGCATCTCTGGGTTATTTGTGGGGCATAGGAATTGGTTCATTTTTTTTGTCTTTTCAAAATATAGTCCGCCCCCCCCCCACAAGGTCTGAGGGACAGTGGACCAGCCCCCTGCTGAAAAAGTTTGCTGTCCCCTGCTCTAAAGTGTGCATACATAGTAAAATCTGTTAAATATCTGCTTTATTTATGCTGAGCGGGGGGTGGGGGTGGTTTAAGCCTTTGCCTTCCAAAGGGAGGCTGACAGAAAGAGAAAATCGCTCCTGTTTCAGCAGCCAAAGGAGGCAGGGGAGCACATGCCTGTAGCAATGAAGACAAAGAGGAATTTTAGAGGATATGGTGGAGAAAGTTTTACAGGGCATGACCATCCTGAAATAACTAGTAAGGGTGGTAGGAAAGAGTAGCATAAAGAAAACAGGTTTGAAAAACAATAATTAAAGATTATGCCCAAAGGAGCATCCAGTGCAAGGATTTCTGCTTGAGCAACACAATGATCTCCCCCTCCCCTCCATTCTGTGAGACCCCTAAATCTGATCTGAGGTTCCCCCAACTCTCCCTAGCAAATTTGGGGAGGACGAGGACACGCACAGGGGGAAGTTCTGTTGCACACACGTAAATCCTTGCGCTAACGAACAAGTGTGTTGGATACTGCCTTAAATTCTCCTATATTCTAAAAACTTAGAATCATACAATCATTCTAAAAGGATACCCATGGGGGGCGGGCAACATCAAAAGGTTTGGGGGGCCAGATATGCCCCATGAGCTACCCAACTCTGATATAGAATGCAGCAACTTCATGCAAAACAATGAGCACAGAGTTCAGCCTTGCTCCCTGCTTCCAAATGCAGACACACAGCCCCGACACCTGGCTGGCATTTTGCTTAACCTACCACCAGCTTCTGGCCATAACTCAGCCCTCATCAAATGTCTGCTCTGCATGTGTTTTTCCCATTAGCACAAGAAGGGTTTTCACTGTCTATTTTACACTCAGGGGGCATAGAGCCAGCAGCATCTGCTGCTGATCCTATAGCAGAACGAGGGCACAAAATGCCTATTCAGCAAAATGTATTTATTGAGGCTGAAATCTAGTCTCAGCAACTGCCTCCCCTCCCAAACACACTTCATTCAATTAACTTGATAGCAGCAGCAGCAGCACAAGCAATAGTAAGTTATACATAGGAAACTGCCTTATACAGAGTCAGGCCATTGTGCCATCGAGCTAAGTAATGTCCAAGATGACCAGTAAGAGCTCTTCAGAGTTTCAGGCAGAGAACATTCCCAGCCCTACCTGGAGATGCCAGTGATTGATTCTGTGGCCTCCTGCATACAAAGCAGATGCACTAACCACTTAGCTACAATCCTTCCCTTAACGCATAAACGTAACAAGCTGCCTTATACAGAGCCAGATCACTGGGTCATTGAACACAGTAAATATGCAGAGATAAGACTGTTCCTTTTCAAGTGCCTCACCCAAATCCACTTTTCCTCTTCTTCTTTTTTAGGACAGTCATTATAATTGGCTGATCACTGGTTTGTGTTTGTTCCTCTTGCTACTAGCAACCGAGCTACGCCCTCCTTATAGATTTGTTTGCTGTTCTGTATTTTGCTGTTTTTCTGACTCATTCTTACTGCTGCCTTGTTTTATAGTGGCTGTCAGAATTGCTGATTTTATGGTTGCTATCCACTTAGATGTATCCTACATTCTCTGGAAAAGACAATATATATATTTTTAAAACCCAAACTTTTCTCTCTCCGTAGGTGACAAATCTAAAGTTCTTTGAGATCGCATGTTGCATTTTCACCTACGGTACTCTTGTATGGACACAGTTGCCACCAAAAGCGTGCAAATGAATGTGTTCTTTCTGCTACAATTTTTCCATAAGTAATGATATTTTGATTGTGCTCTTACAGAATGTTGAGACAAAAGCACTTAAATCCTAACAAGGGGGGTAACTTTAATTTTGACTATTTAAAATGCCTTCTTTCTTCCCGCACCTTTTGCATTTCTAAAAAGAAGACAACAATTATGGTTGAGGAAAAGAAATTGGAATCTGATTCCTGTAAGCTTCAGAGAAATCCCATGTGAAAGCCAATTCCTAGAAGCATTTTGCAAAGCAGGGCATCCCAAGACTCTTCCTTACCTGTGGTATGATCCCTGCCTGATTCTCCTCCTGCTTCCCCATCATCGTGTAGGATTTCCCAGCTCCAGTTTGGCCATAGGCAAAGATACAGACATTGTAGCCCTCGAAGGCGTGCAGCAACATCTCCTTCCCAATATCATTGTACACACGATTCTGAGATGCGAAGCAAGGATCATCGGGCTGCAAAGATTTAAACAGAAGGGTAAGCGGAGAGTCAGTATGGATCCCGTTAAGGGGTGTGTGTTGCCTGAGGAGGAGTGTGGCTGAGGAGGGATGTTCAGCCTAGGAAGAATCCCAAGGGTCAGAGAGATACAGGCCTGGAGGCCTGAAGTTCCTCACCCCTGTTTAAGGTGTTCCTCCACTACCACAACCAGTTACCAAAGGAAGTTTGCAGTTCCTATCACTCAAATGTATCCTCTTGCACCTTTAACTATAGATTAGAATTAGATATGGCCACTTTGGTATCTAAGTAACAACGGTGACTACTTAAAAGGAAGGTGATGAACTTCTAAGTCTGCTGGAGCCTTGCAGTTGCCAGTGCTTTTTGTTTCAGGAAATCAAGAGGATCTGCTTCTGATCTCAGCGACAAAGTGCAACCAGTCATGAAAACTAACCAGGCTCATGCAGCTGTCCAAGCAGACTTCCCCAACTGTTTTATTAAAAGCATCTTGCTAATTTGTAATGCCAAGGAAGAACCTTGTCGCAAGTAGATATCTTCTGCAAGTTAGCAAGTGGACAAACAGGGCTGGGAGAAAACTAAAGGCAGCTGAAGTCGTTTACAGTGACAGCTTTATTTGGTTGACAAATCTGGAAGTATTGGGGCAGTCTAGGGATGCAAACCTTGCTCACGTTTTGAGGAACCTAAATTGAAAAATGTAAACGGGGGTAGCGAGGCCAAATTCATAATCTGTTGAAATAGTTGTAGGGGAGAAAGGGAAACTCAGCTGTAGAAGAGGGCAAGTAGTGAAACTGCCATGCTATTACTGCAGCTTACAGGGTGATCAATTACTGCATATTACGGGTACGCCATTGTTCACATGTCACAATAAGCCATGTTTTGCCATGAAGAAGCTGGTAACTGATCACTCCCACACTGTTAAAATTCACTCCATGAAAGGACCAAACAAAGCAAAATGGCCTGGCTTCCTGTTACAGCTGAACAAGAGGTTGTGGTTTTCACAGTCAGAAGCCAACCTTAAACCATAGCTTGTTGTTGGTTTACAGTGGTGTCCAAACTTTTTTCAAAGAGGGCCAGATCTGATGAAGTGAAGGGCTGTGAGGGCCGACCAAAGGGCCAACCATAGTTGTTGACCTTTTTTAGGACTGAAGTTGTTGAGTTTTTTTTAGGAATTTACCCCAGGAAATAAACTGCTACAGAGGCCGGATTAAACCAACTGGCAGTCCGCATTAAGCCCCCGAAACAGACTTCAGACATGCCTGGCTTATTGGTTCGTACATAACATTGTTTATCAAACTATGGCCTATTCAATCATGGATTAGTGTTATGTGTGAACCTGGCCCATGTCTGAATTATGGGTTGTTTACTGACAACAAGCCATGGTCTGCATCCTTCGTTTGTTCTTGGCTTATCAATCTGAGTTTTAACCATTGTTGGTGCTACGTGAAATATGAGCAGCATTCCTTAAGCACGGGTTGTTGACCACTCTACCCCACATATTTACCAACTTACCAAGGCACAAGGCAATAGCAGCTGGAAAACCAACCAAGTTTTTATAAAGCAAGCCATGGTTTGCTTGTGTTGTTAATGTATTTTATTCAACCATGGCTTAAATAAACCATGGCTTAGTACTGCATCTTGTTAGGGAACAATAAACCAAAACAGCAGGTTTGGATGTAACTGAAAGACAAACTTAACTGTGGGTTCCTGGTTTGTTTTCCTCTGTCATAGCAGGTGAAGAGTAAAGTGGAACAACTGATAAGCCAGAAAGCCTGGATTATCACAACATACTGAATTTGCTCCAGTGTATGACTCCTCAGTACCAAACATTTGCAGTAGCAAATAAAGAGAATAAAGTACTACAGAGCATTAGAAAAATACCTTTCCCTCTTCCCCTATTACCCAACTAGTCCCACTGCTTCTCTAAGGGCAAAGCCTTGTCAGCTTGCGCAGGCTCTAGTTCCAACTCTCAAGCTGAGAACTCAGTACATCAAACTGAAATAAAATATAAAGGGCATAAGCAAAGAAGTCAGTGCCAGATGCTCCTTTTAAAAAAAACGGGAATAATTGTGTTTCACAATCTTACTGAAGAAAGATACAAACATACAGAAGGCTTCAGAGAGCAAGCAAATTCAAAGAGGAGAAAAAATAATGCTATTTCTTTAAAAAGAGGCTTCCAAGCATGACATAATCCGGAGCCTCAGCTGACAAGCAGAACATTTTCCCGTTCAAGGAATAAATGGAGCAGATTAACCCACAACAAGATGACTGCCCTGCTATGCTCTCTGTGGAAAACCAACTTACTACTCAATTAAGAGGAATAGCTTGGGGGAGACGGTCAGGAGAGAGAACGCAGACACACGTATGCAGGAGTGCAAGGATCAGATGCTAAATTTTATCTTGGTGGGGCAGGTTCATCATCACCACGCTCAGATGGGAACTATCTATCATACTACAATGGTGGTGCCGAGGGACAAGAGAGGGGTGTGACCAAGACCACCTAAATGGGTTTGGAGCAAGAGGGGACATTTCAGCCAGGTGCTTTCCTGCTCCTAGATAACAGTGGGGTCTATGCAGAACAGAAGTCTTGGAAGACTGGTATAAAAACAGCTTTTGTCAACCTTGTGACGTCCAGGTTATTTTGGACTACAACTCCCATTAGCCCCCAGCCAATGATGGGCAGGGCCAGAGGCAAAAGCAGACAGAGCAATTAATGTAATTTTTAGTTTTGTACAGTAGGCTACTTTGCACACACCCCTCTCTATCTACACAAGGAAAATGCATTATCACAATTCAAGGACACAGTGTAATCAGGCAAAAACACTTCTCATGTATAGTCAAGTGTTGAGGATAGGCCTGGGGAAAGAGAAATGTGGCCTAGAGAGAGTACAGAGGGCCAGACAGTGATGCTTGGGGGTGGGGTTGCCACTTGTCCTGTATAATACAGGATTGTCCCATACAGCGGTACCTCCGGTTACGAGCTTAATTCATTCCAGAGGTCTGTTCTTAAGCCAAAACCGTTCTTAACATGAGGCGCGCTTTCGCTAGTGGGGCCTCCCGCTGCTGCCGCACTGCTGGTGTGCAACTTCCGCTCGCATCCCGGGGCATTCACAACTAGGGGCATCTACTTCCAGGTTAGTGGAGCTCGTTACTCGAAGCATTCATAAGGAGGACAGTACGTAACTCGAGGTTCCACTGTATTTTAATGTAAAATGTTATGTCCTATATTGATACAGTTTTGTCCTGCAATAGATTGTAATGGTTTGCTTTGATGTCACTTCAGCACCAGATTGGCAGGGGAGGGGGGTGTCGTTCCCCAACAGCCCCACATTAGGTTTCTGTGCCTGTGATTCCCTATCCCTCGGGTAGCAGAACAGTAGGGCCATTTCACAGCTTCTTTGTTCAGGATGCAGAGATTAGAAAACAAAAACAAAAACACTCTTCAGTCCTTTGATTCTTCTGAATGAGAGCCAACTGGGCTCAGTGGCTACTAACCCTGCCCATACCTTCCTCTTGGACCAAAATCAATTATCCAAGTTTACATCTGTTGGGAATAGGGAGTGTTTTTTTTCCATCTACTCCACCCTTATGACAAGTGAAGAGCAGCCACGGCTAAGCCCAACAATTACTGGAAGTAAGCAAGACCTCAGATTCAGCTTTCACAAGTGATTTTTTTTTGGGGGGGGGTTGTTTGGAGGAGAGAATGTTTTATGACTTTAGCAGAGGGGTGGAGTAGAGAAGCTGAAGGCACAGCATTGCACTGCCCTCCTCCTAATAACCCAGAAGATTAAAACTCATCTTTCACCAAGCCAGAAATAATCCTATAGGAAGAGTTTCCTCTCTGAACAAAAAATAAAACTAAACAGTCACAGCAGGAAAATGTTTGCTCTTCAAATTCCATTCTCCAACTCCTTGGGCCAACCCCTCTCCTCTATCATCTTTGCACACACTTGTTCTTTGCCACTTGGAATTTAATCTTTCTGAAACCCATGATGGAAAAAGCACCGAGATGATATTCGGAAACTTCAGTTGCTAAAACCACAATA